AAGGAAACGCTGATGCAGACCGCGGGCATTACGGGAAATTAGGGTAACACGCAAAACATCAGTTTGCAGCAATGTCACCTAATTCGCATAATGGGCGTCTCGATGCACTGGGATTCACTTTGACCCTAATCTCCGTTCGTAAGTCTGCCTCGAAGATTACACATTCCTTATTGGGTCGTAGAACGTTTAAAAGATTGATTCAATTGAGGACGGGATGTACGTCAACTAAAAGGATAACCGTCGCTGCCATACGTTCTTAGAAACCGTACTTTATGTTTATGTAGGTCATAAATTTCTTGTTAAAAGTATTGTTTGTGCTACGTAAAAATAGATACATTTAGAACCACATTTTAATAAAGCTTCCTTACAGAACTCTTATTTCTTAAAGGAAGTTTTCTAAAAGAGAATATTACAATTTAATTTTATAATTAATAATTATAAAATAGTGCAATTTGAAACTTCGATTTTATAATCTATAGCAGAAATAAATTTCTAAGCTGCAGTACATTTTATTATTAGTAAATATAGTACACTTTCAAAATAACATTGATTTCTAATTTATGCTTTTCATTAAGGATTTGACGGGACAGAAATTACATCAAAAATGTATGAAAGCTTTAGTGTTTACATTCTGTGTTATTTAATACACTCATGTGCGCAGTAAGTGGATAAAACTTATAATCTAATTATAGTAATCAAATTACGTTTACCAGCATGAAAGCATATTAATGAGTGTATAATAATTATATTCCATTATTATAATGTGGTTAACAGGTTAGAAAATAAATGCAGAAATATCCTTTTATACAGGGTGACCGAGTTTAATCAATAAATACTTTTATCTCCGAAATTAATGATTTTCCGACATAATGGGGTTAATGCGTTTTCATAAAGAATGTGGAAATATACACAACAGTATACACAAAATTGTATCATTGAAGGTATTAATACTATAAAAACTACAATATATAATAACAATATTAATATAATATAATAATATAATGTTATATATCAATATAAGAACCAATAACTATACGAATAAGCAATAAATGTTGTCTGAAACATTTTTTAAATTGACACTTTTTAAGATAAAAATATTCATTGATTCAAATAGGACACCCTGTACATTGCTCTCGTTGTCCGTGTTGCAAATAACGTTCCAACGAAAATACCATCCCGATGTGAGATTCGACGTCGGAAACCATGTAGCTCACGATAGCTTATGACATGAAACGCGAAACGGACAGAAAGGAAATATTAAAATTTCCCTTGCAATTATTTCGTTGATCATTTCATAACGGCGCGGCGCGGGTGCGAACGTGTGCGACGCGATCGCGCGGATAAATTTATCGGGGATTTTCGCGACACGCGACCATTCCGTTTGAAACGCGACACAGTCTTTTCATCGTGTCGCGAATAAAGCGCACGTGCTGCGAAATTAACGCGCGCGAAATGAGGAAATAATTACACGGCCAGCAGCCGCGGCGCGTCGAGCTGAAGTTATTGGAACGATCGCCGCTGTGAAACGCACGGCGAATTCAATGCAGCACGAATTGCGATAGCGATACATAAGTGCCTTTACTCTCATTGGAAGAGATTAATTGTTTACTGTTCGACGCACGATCATTCGTCACCAAACATTAATGCTATTTGTATTCTCACTGTTAGCGCTGGATTTCAAAACTTTCCAGTTTGATGAAATAGTTTATTGATCGAAAATTTGAGTGACTGATAGACTATTAAGTTTAAGTAAATGGAAAATTTGAATAATATACTTTCCTTTGGTGTTTGTGATTTTGATTGAATGAAGAAGGACTGAAGCAATTAATTTGGTTGTTTGTTAGAGAATAAAATTTTTAAATAATTATAATGAATAATAATAATTATAAGGAAGGAAAGGACATCGGTAAAGTATTTAACGAGTAAAATGAGTAAATTGATTAAGTGAGTCAAATGAATGAGTTGAATGAGTAAAAGGGTAAAAGAGTAAAAGAGTAAAAGAGTAAAAGAGTAAAAGAGTAAAAGAGTAAAAGAGTAAAAGAGTAAAAGAGTAAAAGAGTAAAAGAGTAAAATGATTCTGCCACGTAAATATTAAAACGAGACCATTAAAATTCATAAACGAAAATATATAATAATTCTTCTCAACATGAAAACTATAAAATATTTATTTAGAAACAAAATTGATCAAATGCGTATATTTAGTGCACATTGACACGCATCTTCCGTTCATTGTGCAAGATCACAAAGGTTTCGGGTAACAAAGACCGTCTGTTATCTTCCAGTATATTTATGACAATACGTCCGCAGTAATATTAGAGCATCTTGTCGTCGGTGGAAAAGGAATCAATAAGGCAATTTTTATCGCAAACAAGCCAAGACCATCTGAGAGCTTTTATCTAGCCCGGTTTGAAAAGCTTCGGGCTCGTTTCTATTCTACGAACCGTGTTATTTCAGGTCTTATTCCACTTCGCGATTTCCCTTCGCGATTTCCCTTCGCGACAAGGGAATCGCGAGCAATTTACCCGGCCGGCTATTTCAATCTGATTCCAACGACGTCGGCGACGCGATGGGACTACGATTTCGGGACTTAAACATTTCTGCGAGAAATAATTCGATCCAAATTTAAAAAATCAAGTTAATCATTATAATAGTTACAATTCCACATAATCCTTTTTTTCTTTAATGATTTTATTATCTTTTCCAAGTAAACTTAAGCCGCTTTCGAAATAAACGGTTCAATTGATCTTTCTTTTGTTTCAAAGTTTCACGTTGATGAAACGAATTTTCTGTCTTTCATTAACTTTAAACATCCAAGAATTAAACAGTTGCTTTTACCTGTTTCATATGCCGATAAAATTAATTTTTTGTCTTTCATTAACTTTCGAAGGCTCACTTTGTACAAGTATTAACCTTGATACTGTTTTCAATAATTAAAATCATGTTTTTTTACTTCTCGTTATTTATCCCTTCAATATACAAGTTTTTCCAATATTGTAATGCTATGTATGAAATTTAAATCAAGTATTAAACTTGGTCTCATTTATTTATCAAGATAAAATTAATATCATTCGATTCTCTGTAGTAGGACATTCTCATTTATGTAAACAAAGCAAATCACACTTTTAAACTTGAGTAAATTAATGAGCTTTAATATCTTATTAATCTTCTACTATTCTACTAATTTGATGCTTCATTAATTTTACAATAGTCTTTCCTTTTGTAAATCTCATATGTCGTAGAGACTACGACTAAAATTAAAAACAGCTATGGAAAATATCAAAGATTCTAAATTATCTTGGAAAGAAATTGGAGATTGAACGTCGTTAACTGTGAACAGCTAATGATAACCTATTCGCTGATAAATATGGAGTACTGTTTCCGCGGTATGGTCGCCGCTGACTCGTAACTAACGCACAAGTTTCTAACTGCAATTCACAGTGGTTGAATGTTACACCCTCTTCTCACCCTCTTCTCACCAAACGATTTGTTGAATTTCCAATTAATTGCGTTCTGTGATATAATGGTGAAAATGGTTATTAACTGATACTGCACTGTTAGAACTTCTCCCATTTTCAGCAACTGTCGCCTTTAAAAGTTTCAGAAGGTATCTTGAATTATTGTCAGATAAAAATAATTTAAAGTAACACAAATTACGTGAAACTTATCACTGGTGCCTTTTCTATAAATATTTTTATTTCAACATGTTTTTAAAGATCATTAGTTCAATTATATCTGTACACCTCTGTCAAAATAATATTAAGGGATGAACAAAAATTTAAACGAAGAAACTGTAAATTAACCCCTTGTCCTAGAATATCGTGTTAAACTCGTGACGAGAATTTTCAATCGAATTCGATAAACGTAAATGTTATTTACTTTGTTTTGACTATAAATTAAATATTACTTATAAAAGCAATTAGAAAATAAATATTGTCTATCGTTACTATTTAGAGTATATATAGATATAGATTAAGTATCAAATTCTTTTCTTTTTTTAATAAACTATTAACGATAAAGTAGTTTCATCAAGCACAATTGCAAAAGAAATCATACGTCAAAGATTTGAGCATGGTTAGAACATTTTAGTTAGCTATACAAAATTGCAATGATAATCACAAGAAATCGACAGGAGCTTTCCAATGAACAGAAGCCACAGTGTAGGCTACTGTGAGCCAATACTTTGACCTAGAAGTGTCTATACCTTAAAACCAATGGAAAAAAAGTATTCGCGTACGTATTAGCTAAACTAGCTCAGTTATGTGCGACATATTTTCAAACTAAACTGACTTACACCACACCTGAAACTGACATCACAATTTCTTAATTTTTCTTCAAAATAAAATCACTTAAGTTATTTGACAGGTCCCGATACATACATTCAATCTTAATCTGTAAATATGGAAATGAACTTAACCTCTAAATATTCTAAGTAACTAATAAAACAATTTATTGTATCTATTTGCATTTACTTATTTAAATACCTCTACGCATCCGTAGTATCGACTATATAACGAAAATGTCACTGGTTTCAAAACTCACGATATTTTGTATACGTGAGTCCGAGCGACCGTATTTAATCCTCTATAAGCCCGTGCGACTTTGAAGTCACATTGCCAACATATCGGCGTTCATGTTGATTTATTTCATGTTGCATAGCAAAGCGGTAAGTAAAATGAAGTAATTAATTAACCTAAACTTAAAGTCGTAATTTCAAAATTACAAGGTATATACGTTTTAATACAATTATTCAAACTATTACGAATATTTATTAAATTTATGCTACGCACATTCTTCTTTGTTACGAAAAGAAATTCGACCTATAGAGGGTTAAAGGTTAAACAGTATTTGAAATCTTCGTCACGAGTCTGACACGATATTATACGGGAACGGGTTAAATGGAGTATCCAGACGAAATAGATCAACTGATCGGATTGGGAATAGAACGATGTCCTTTACGAGGTACCGTACCAATTGACGGAGTTCATTTTTGCCTGTTGCAGCCGATGCTTGCTGAAACGAAACGCGGCGGCGCCGGTGGGGCCGAAGAGGGTGAAACCGAGGATGGCATGGAATATTACAGGGTGAGATCGTTTTCTATAACAGCGAACGGGGTCTACAACCTCGGCGATTCGTTGAAGAGCCGCCGTAGCAGGAGCATCAACAGCGTCACATCATCCGGCACTAGCTGCAGCAGCACCAGGGAGGCTAGATTGCTCAGGTGAGGAATTAATTAACAACTGGCCGAATATTTGCTCTGTCCACGTCTCTGGTCATATCGTTACCACTGTCTCATTATTCTCTTCATTATCTGTTTATTTATTTCTATAATTTTTTGTCTCATTATTCACTTCGTTATTTGTTTATTTATTATTATAATTTTTTGTCCTTTTGTTCACTACATTATTTGCTTATTTATTTTTATAATTCGTTGTCCTTTTATTCGCTTCATTATTCGTTTATCTATTTCTATAACATTTATCTCTTTATTCTTTGCATTATTTGTTCATTTATTTCTATAAAATTTTGTCTCTTTATTATATTCATTATGTGTTTATTTGTTTCTATAAAAAAGTTAAAAAATATATATGGTTCACGTATTTATTAAATACTTCACCGTGTTCCATTTTTAGTACCCTGGGTATACATTGAATGCACTACAAACGCGCACACTTGTCTGCAATGTGATAATACTTAATTAACAGTTGATTCAAGATTATTTATTGTATATCTGTAATGTTAGTTCACTCAACTTTAATTTAATTGATTTTGATTAACGATGAAGCATAGTAATAAATGTGTTTCATTATCTTTTTGGCATTTATTATCGCATCGTTATTTATGATCAACCATTAAATTGTCTCGTTTTTATTAATTTAAATTTTTACCAATATTTAACCGAACTAAGCAGTATATAGTTCAAATATTATATACGTATCTACAGTACAATGAAATCGCAAATTCGATAGTACTGTAAATAAAATAAAATTATGATATCACGTTACATATTCTGAGTGATTGAAACAGAATATTTATACGTATAGAAACCATAAATGTATTAAAATGTCGATTCGATGAAGCTGCGTAGATATTCGTTTATTTTCAATTTCCTCTCTCCAAACAATTTTAATGGAACACATTTTTTCCTATTACTTCGATTTGAAAGTGTACCTTTCAAAAAACTTTTTGTATTATTATTTTTCCTATTTTTACGTATCTTCTTCTATTTCGTGAGGAATATATTCAAAATAAAGAAATAATTCACTGCATCGATCTATGTAATACTGATCGTGAGCCGTAAAAAAGACTTAAGTAGTAAAAAGTAAAAAAGAAACTAATTCAATAAGAAATGAGAAAAGCAACAAGGGAGGAAGAATTAATGATCCAACTTCATGAACAGCTCTTGAATAAATAAACGCGGAAACCTCGTGGTAATCATAATTATGCTCCGATGTGTTTCTTTTTCTCCGAACTTTTTCCTGCGCGAAAAGCAGAATATTAAATAATGCGGTTAACAATGTCGCAGAGTATCGTCTGAACTGCATTTTCAAATTCACCGTAATTGTACAACACGCGTAAATCCATTTGCAACCGTGGAATTAAACATTAACGCGAACCACGATTTATTAACGAGACAAATTACCTCTCTAACATTTAGCCTATATTATATTTAAATCCAGCTGTGTTACAATTAATCACTGAATTACATAAATGGATGTGGCATTTTGGGATGACCGCGCGAATAAATGAATCCGCAATGATTCGAGCGATAATTAACCGATAAATTCGCAATTCATGTTGACATTATATATAGAACTTGAAAATTAGATTGCACTGTGCAGCAGGTGCATTATTAATTCTTCTGTGAGAAAACACTACTTTTATTGTAGATCACAACGTGTTATTAGGTTGTAATTACTAAACCGAGAGTGATTAAGCATTGATAATTAGATTGCAAATCTTGATGCATGTAGACCATTTATAAATTTAGAAACAATAAGGAAACTTTTCACGTTGACAAGAGTCTATTTCATCGTTAATATAATGAATCTTTTAATAAAAAGGAAATTAACTTTTTTTTTCTTTAAATTATTTATAATTTATAAAACAGAAATTTATATAAAACTCGAAATAGTCTGTTTATTACACTAGTGATTATCAGGAGCTTAATGTGTTTAAAAATTGAATAAAACTAGTTGTACTTTTATTTTTTATTCTATTCAACTTCAAATATTAAACATAAGGGTAAAAGTGTGGAAAATGTAAATACAAGTACAAGTACAAGTACAAATACTAATACAAATACTAATACAAATACTAATACAAATACTAATACAAATACTAATACAAATACTAATACAAATACTAATACAAATACTAATATTTATATAACCTTACAAGTACCTTACTTACTGATCAGCAAACACAAATTTTTCCAACAAAATTACCATCAAAACGCGTTGAAAGCAGAACTGTAACAAAATTAAATCGTCCAAATTCACTGGCACGGTGTCAAAAGATTTCCATTCTCAAGGGGCGTCGAACTCCCCGCGTAGACTAATTAAATTTCATACTCGTAAATGCTTGCACCGCACGCGAAATGTTTCCGCCAGGACGTCGAAAGCCAGGACTTAATCCTCCACTACCGTGGAGCAATTAACGCATTATATACCGGTAATTATCGAGCAGTTTATATAGGAGACTAATAACAAACGCCGAAAACATTACCGCGCACGTTCCTACGTACGAAAATTTAACCTTCTATAAACTCGTGTGACTTCGAAATTCAGTATTAAATACAATTAAGTAATTCATTTGCTTAAACTTTTCTACGCTGAAGGTATATTCGTTTTAATACAATTGTCAAAACTATTAAATACACTGTTCACCCTTAACGGGCCAATGGAATTTTTACTTACTGATCATTTTATTATTTTTATCACTGTTATTGTTGTCATATTTACAATTAACACATTATCATGTGTTATAACACAGTATCATGTTAAGTCACCTCTATGAATTTATTTCCGCTTGTTATGGTATGGTATGGTATTTTTTGGTGGTAAATAAACTTGAAATACTTCTGGTCCGTTAAGGGTTAGTTTGTATTAACGTGTTGATATATACATTTTTCTATAGTCATGAACAAAAAATTCAGCCTATAGAGGATTACACACAAATGTTATATTAATAAACTTTTATTAATATTAAAACTACCAGACGGATCAAAATGACCTATTCCTGATGTCTTCTTTTCCTAATGATTAAAAAGGTTACAGATATTTCTCTGAGAAATTATTCAAGAAATTGATTTACCAATGCGCAAACTGAATTGTAAATCAACTGATGTTTCAATAGGCACACTCTTGGAGCTTCTATAGAGGAATTTCAAAAAGTCAGTTCAACTGCTCGGTAGTTTCAATATTAATGTTAACCCTTTGAACTCGACAATATTTTTAATTATGAACGTCCATTATTTTCCTGACGACATATTAACAATATTATTTCGAACTTACATAAAGAAACGTCTTGCGTAAATTAAGGAACAGAATTGTTTTATTTCTATGCTTCATGTGTTGATACCTTATTCAACATTTAATATTGAATTTCTGATTTCATCATTTTGCGGTGTCCAATCAAATGGCGACCGAGAGTCGCCTCCCGAATGCAAAGGGTTAAGAGTCTAAGGTGTCCCAATCTTACAGTTGATTAGTAGAATTTCGGAAAGTTACGGATTCTTTTCTAAGGGTGTATGGGTTTATGGTATGTAAAGCAGTCCCAAGAAACTGTAGAATTTTCAATCGTGTCTAGCGGTAGCACCTTCGTCGTACGATGCGCGAAACGCATCGGGCATCGCGATTCAGGCATCATAGGTGTGAAATCTGCCTAAAGGTAACGAGCGACGTAAACCGAAAAAGGATTCTCCCGCGTTGGACTGCCACTTAAAGAGATTAAAGGGCCTCCAGTCGTCTTTCTTTTTCGCCTGTTCTCGCTCCTCCCTCATTCTTCTCGCATAATCTTGCCCCGACCGCGATTACCATCGTCCCCTCGAATCTTGACAGGTTATCCCGACAGCGTGGGCGGTCGGATTGCGGCGAAACAAGATGTAATCTTGGCAAGTGCTCTTCCGCGGGGAAGAGTTGCGAGAATTATGATGAATGTTCAGCGTGCGCCGCGTCGTTCCTGGCTCTGTGAAATTGGCGTCTGAAGTGTAACTACTCGGTGAAGGACGATTCTGTCGAACCAGTGTGAGGGAGGATCAAGAGCAAGAATCGACTTTTGAGTTTCTGTGATTAGTAGACTGCAGGTCTTTATGCAAATAGAAAGTTTTAACAATGGGTTTTAAAACTGTTTGGTTTATTGGTTTTATTTGAGGAATTAAAGAATAATGTTTCAGTAGAAATAGATGAATTGTCATGGAAGATCGATTCTTTCTTTCAGACGTTTAAGGGATTTACCGAACACGTCCATTTGACGTATATTGAATTTTGGAAATATTGTTTTGCAAATGTTTACGTCGATTTCGATCGATGCAATTACACGAATGTGTATTTTAATTGTTTATCTTCAAACCTCTGATTTTTAAAGTCGAAATGGACAGACGTCAATTTTTCTAGGAAAAATAGAATACAGTGTACAATAAATGTCCGTGAATCTAATGTCAAGAAGATATTATAATTTGGAAAATAGAATTACGATAGGAAATGGGTTTTCAAGATAAATACTACACGAAGCGCTGTTCTTTGAATATTTTTTCGTATCGTGTGTATTTTTCAGAATTTTACTCTCAGATTTGTCGCAAATGCATAAAAATACTATATACAGCCTGGTGATTAGAAGTGATTACACTTCTATTTTAGTTTATTACTCTGTTCATTATGTTTATTTTATTACTGTCGCTATCAGAAAACAATCTCGCAAGTTTTCTGATAGCGTATCTGCGCCTTGAGAAGGAAACTTTTGGAGAGAATAATCTGGAATGAGTAAACGAGTGATAAATGATAGTTAGTCAAGTAAATCACTAAATTAGAGACATAAACAATAAGTAGACCAATGGTCCAATTTGTTTGATATTAATCCTAATCGGAGCGTGCGGCTCTGCGTAACGCTCAGAATGTCACGTGATAGGTGGCTTACGACCGTGAAGGGTTAAGTAGAGTAAATCTTTCACCAAATAAGCGCTGGGGAAACAAAGCCGGTGGGAAATCGGGGGTATGCCACGTAGAAAATTGTGGATACTAGTGGAAGACCCTGGTATTTGTTAGGAATAGGGGTCGGCTTTCGTCTTCAGCCAAGTGAAACGTACCCTTCCGTCTGTTTCGGGATGCTCACGATACAATCTCCCGAAAACTTGTGAACGAATTTGCTGACATTGTGAGAGCAGCTTTAGGACTTGTACAATTTTTCTCCGACACGATCAATCAGTGAAAAGATTTAACTGTTTTCACTGGACAATTTGTCTCACTGTAAATATCCATTGCTTTTTGATGAAACAAACTTTTTTATGAAAACGTATTTTACAACTAACATAAAAAAAAGTATATATATTTTTTTTGTGTTAGTCTGTATAATTTCAATTTCACAAGTTTCGATCTACATAGGTTTTTAAGAATTACGTGCAGCGTTGGAGACATTTATTGGGTCACTGTCAAATATTCGTAAAATGTATAATTATAGTCATGCAATAACTAATTAATATGTATTTATATTTATATTTACACTAATTAATTATTGTTATGCAATAATTATACATTTTACGGATATTTGACAATGATCAAATGCATGTCTCCAATTCTCCACGCAGTTATTAAAAATTTATGTAAATTGAAATTTGTGAAATTAAAATTTCAAAAATTCAAGAGAAACGACAATGGATTTGGTCGATGAGTTTAAACATTATCGTTTACGTAGAAATAATTTTAACTTGAAAATGCTGCAAGCATAATGAGCGAAAAAAGTGAATCGAAACCAATGTGAAACGTGAAAGAAAGCTCTCGTATTATCAGTACCTCGTGCAGACGCGGACTGACGTCATTTTATATTCACGAAGGTCACTTCAGTTTCATAAAAGTGAAAGATAAAACCTGCAGAAGCGAAGCAGACTGCGATAATGATAATGACTCACGTTCGCTCGCTTTTATAAACTGTTCCTTATTTATTTATCCTTCATAAGCGACCACTGACATGTTTAAGCAGCATAGTACGTAATTACACAATGCAAACAACATTAATAACGCAGACAATAATCTAAAATTTTATTAAGTTACATAATAACATATTATATTGATAATTAGTTACAATAGAAGATTTATTACTGTAACGGTATATGATAAAAGCATATTTGACTAAAAAATTAGAAATTAACTATAAGGTATTTAATACTATGTAATGTTAATATTATTTACTGAAATCGTTTCATCTTAATAATTAGTTAAAAGGACAGAGATTTCCAAATTCCTAGTAAATCTATATCTACTTTAACTATCAAATATTAGTAGACTAAATTACTATCAAATATTACATTAACAGTTACATCTACTATAACTGTGAAATATCAGTAAGAAAGAAATAGAATTTCATTTCACCTACTAACCCTTTGCAGTCGGCAAATTCTCTAACTATAAATATGCGTCACTTTCTATTAAAATATCAATAATATTTTTCAAACTTAACATTGTAAAAAATCACACAAAAATTAAAGAACAGAATTATTCTATTTAAACGTTTCATGTGCTAATGCACTGCATAAAGTTTGATATTGAATATCTAGTTTTATAATGCTTCTGCATTGAACCAAAACGCCTCCTGAATGAAAAGGGTTAGAAAACGATTAATATTACATTAATATTTATTAAATACAATTATGTTACAAGGCAAAAGATTATATATCCACTGCATTTCTTATTATCTCTATTATTTGTAGCAATTATATACTCATTATTATTTTTACACAATATTTTCTCCTCAATAACATCATACACGATCGCGTAACTCGTCAAACTAAACGAGAATTTAATATTTGTGTAACTACAGAAAATTTCGATGGCCTTGGATCTGAAAGGTCGCTGCAAGTAGAATAAGCACGTTTAAAGCGGACTGGCTGATTATACACGCCACGGTTCCACGTAATATTTCATTCGTGACTTTCGAGACTCGTTAGTTCGACGTTCACGGCGATTTTAATGAAAGTAATTTGAAATATCGAATATAACGTAACTGTCATTTCAAAATCTATTTCATCCGTTCATGCGGAATACGTTTCTCGGGTGCAGTTATTTTTAACGATACAATTTCCCTCTTTTTCAGAACATTTCGCCGTTGACTTGATTGCTTTTACAATTGATAGAACCGTTCGCTAATTATTCGCGAATTATGCCATACATTATATTTCAATTTATTCTGTAACTTCAGAAGTATTTAAATAAAAATTGTTTCATACACGTTTGTGATGTCTTTGGGTTATCCAGAAATGGTTAAACAATATGTAATGGATTAAAAACACAACGAAAGCGAACCGACAATGAGTTTTTGCTAGAAGTCCCTTCTCTTTCTTTTACCTTTTACTTGGCTATCTTGTGTTCGCTGACTGTACGTAATTAATTAATTAATTTTTCTTTTCCCTTCTTTCGTTCCTACTTGTACCTCTAATTTTATTCTGCTCGCACATTATTTCTCTCAGCGTACATATTTCTTCTTGTATTTTGCTTATTTTCGTCTGTCTTATGTAAGTAATGTTCACTTTGTTCTGCTGAGTGTAATAAAGAAGATGTTATCATTAATAATACGTATGGTACTCGCTTTTGTTCTCCATCAAGATACACCACCTTACGACGAAGTAACATGTGAAAAATAGTTTTAATCCACATTATATCATTTGCTTATCAATAAATGACAGTAATACACTTTAGTATGTATAAAACATATACGTAGTATATTAATGCAGTTATTAATACATTTGATTAACACTGAACACTATTTTTCATTGCCTTAAAAAATTTACAGTCAACCTTCCCAAAAACTAAGAATGAATTTTACATTATATCGTGCTATGTAAGTATATAGAATTGTTAATTACTCTAAAATATCTATTCCCTATCATTACATCTCACTCCGTCGTATTCTGTTTCATTTGCGATCGTCCTTACTTCAATCCATCGCAAATAAAACGAACGAAGAACGCTTAGAAATGGAAAAATAGAGCGATCGCACCATCTCGAATCTTTTCCTGCGAAAATAGCAAAGCGTAATTCAGTTTCTCAACTGAAACGGAAGCGCGATCGCGCCGCTTAGTACTATAACGATTAATATAGACTATTACAACTGTGAAACGTTCAATGTTCTTAAACCACCTAAGAATTTTCTGGAAACGGCCGCTGCCCGTGGTTTTGAATCTCCAACAGTGCGCATCGTTCCGTTTTTCCGTCGGCGAGAGAAAAAAACGGCGCGACGCACGTGAAAGCGCTCTCAAGAATGACAAAGAAACACGCGCGCAACTCGCGGAACGAGCCCCTTTTTTTCTGGCCGGTCGATAGCCGGTTCCGGTAGTCGCGCAGAGGCGCGCGGAGATTTTCCAAGGCCCCATTTTGATATTTCTTTGTTCACCACTCGTTCCACGAATGTTTCAGCTTGGCGTCGCAGCTTTCTGGCATGGAAGCCGAGGAGGACACGAGCAACGAACGAGTGGCCACTTACAAAGTCGGCATGCTGGGTGCGTCGGGGGTTGGGAAAACCGCCCTCACCGCGCAGTTCACCACCAGCGATTACATTTGCGCTTACGACACTTCTCTCGGTAAGTGCGGCGACATTTATTTCTCCTTTTGCTGGCTGAGTGTTGGCGGAACGTCGTCGACGAAGATGACGACGACGATGTTTCGCTGATCGTCAAAAGGAATATCGCGGCGCGTCGCTGGTACGCTGCTCTGCCAATTGCTCGCGCCATTATGAAAGAGAACGACTGGTCTTTAACAGTTCAACTACTGCAGGCCCGTTAACACTGAAATTACCGAACCGTTAAATTGACTTTTTGGAATTCCGCTATAGAAACTCCAAGTGTGCATTTGTTGAGATTTCAATTGATTTCGAATTCAATTTGCGTATTGCTAAATCTATTTCTTCAATGATTTCTCGGAGAAACGTATGTTATCTTTGTAATCATTGCGAAAAGTAGGAAGCAGAAATGGGTCATTTTGATCCGTCTGGTAGTTTTAGTGTCTAGGGATGAACTAGACATAGATCATTTTTGGGAATTTGTTGTTAGTAACTATTAAGTGGAAACTTCTGATTTCTTCTGCTTGTATAACTGTAATTTGCTGCTTTATGTTTATATTTTTAGGCTGAAATGTTAGAAAATGGTGCAGTTATTCGGAATCCCTTTTTGTAAAAGGCCCATTGTTGGTCGACTCGATTGCATACCACTGAAATATCTGAAGACAACAATTTTTGTGGATTTATGAATAGAAATATATCATTTAAAATGTGGCCAACGGATTTTTTGAAATTTTAATTATTATGGAAATGGCAAGCTTTTAAGTGCAAAAACTTGTTTTTACTCTAAAAAGTTAACTTCAAATGTTTATAAAAAATCAAACAATTGAGATATCGAAAAATCAGTATGCTACATTTTATATAATATAGTTCTGTTTATAAATCCACAATAATTTTTATCTTCAGATGATTCAGTTGCTTGCCATCGAGTCGACCAACAATGAATGTTTTACGAAAAGAGGTTCCAAAGCTGACGAATAACTTAGAAGAATATAAATATACAGCAGAAGGTTACAGCTATACGCCCAGAAAAATTCAGAAATTTTCACTAAATAGTTATTAACAAAAGAATTCCTAAAGTTCACTTATATTTGGGACGTCTCTAGATGGTGTCCCCCATTAAGCATCGATATATTATGGCGACATATTTTCAATGTCCTCCACAAAAGTTTAACTGTCCGTGAATATGTTAAATAACAATATAAAAAAAATCGAAACAGTCTACTAAATTATCCACTCCTATTATACCGAACAATTCTTATTTGTCATACTTTTTCTTATCTTCAATAATTACGGAAATATTCGACTATACACGAATTAAACGAACAAACCGCATACGTAATATCATTTCTTTTTATAAATTTAAAATGTATATAATTTCATTTCTAAATTGTTATCAATGATAATCCAACTTCAGTCTAATCCAACGTGTTCTAATTAATGATTAATTATTGTTGGTGTTAATTAATAACGACTGCGCATGCAACGTTGCCAAGGTGCAGTCTATAATTCTTTCTCATCGAACCGAACGTGTTAGGTTCCTCTAGTTATTAAACTTAGAGTAATTTCCAGCGGTGCGAAGTTTCATTCGTGTTGGATTTCCAGTCGAACCAAATTCAACAGTTTCGAGATTTCACGGAACGTTCCCATGTTTAATACCATCCGAAGTTTACTCCCCTTCTCGAATTACGTAGATAGAGTGGTCGAGCGTATTCGACCTTCTGGCGAGGTCTGATAACTCTATTGGAAATGGTACACAAAGCGTCGAGTTTGCTTAAAAAATGTCCTTCCATTGGTAAACAATATCAATGATAAATAATAAATTAAAAATTCTTCTCTTTTCCAAGATAGACTCTCGTGGCAATTATTAATCTTGTTTCATTCGTATAATAATGAAATTCGTACTTTTCCTGTGAAATTGTCGGAATTAAAACTACAGAAAACATGGTAATTTTTCATTGTATTGAAGTATATAAAATATAGTAAATAAAGTGTAAATATAGAAGGTGATTATATAAATTCCATTTGAATACTTCTGTGAAACGCGGGAATGCCAAAATTAATTAATAATATTATTATACATCCTTTCTTGATCATTAATTGCATACCATTCAACTTCTCCCTCACTCGATTACTCGTGACTAGACTACGAACGTCTGTACCTTCATAACGTCTTCCAATCTACGAGTTGATTAAAATGCAGCTTTAAATAATTACTACCGAGCAATTAAAGTGGCTTATTTCTAATTGTTTATAAAAATTAGAACAATACGTTTCTCGAGATTCGAAGGGTCTCCTAGTCTTATATCTGTGTAAATACACAAATTTAATTGAAAATCTTCCGCAGAAACGCCTTCATAATTGAAATACTGGCAAAATAAAAATTCTGAGGTAGGCCAATTTGACCTGTCCGGTAGTTTTAATGTTAACGTGGATATTCATTAAACCATTAAGTATTTAACTTCACAGAAACGAATATAATATGACGAATATTAAAAGGAATTTACCAATCTGGAAATTGATGTGTTTCACTTCTGCGAATTCACTTTACTCCAATTTAACTGAAATTTGAATTTCATAGTTGAATTTCATAGTTAAATCCAAGGAATATTAAATTAGCGGGTTTGCTTTCCTTTGGTATTTACATATTTCCAGGAAAGATACGAAAAAAGAGAATAGAAATGCGAAATGAGAAGAACTTACTTTACGGAAATAAAAAATAGACAGTGAAAGCTTTCGACAGTGATGATCTTGAAATTATTCAAGTGTTTAAGCCGTGGTGGAAATCAATCCCATCAGTGGGTCCAATCTGCCGCTCACGGCTTAAGTAGTTTCGAGTGATTAGTAGGTATGTCTAACGGCTCGAATCGAATTGGTTAAACTTAGCTGCCACTTCGAGTTCGTCTTCCACCGTGTACACAAAGCGCGAGATGTTAGTCTCCTTATAACTACGTACAAACTTCTTGGGACTAGAAATCTTCGAATGATATCTCGCGTGTCTCGTGAAAACTTTGCATACCTCTACCAAGAGGTAATTTGTCTTAATAATCTAATAATAATTTAATGAATAATTTAAATCTAAATTTAATGATGTAATAAGTGGTCTAAATCTAAACCTAATCATTTAACAAATAATCTAAATCTAAACGAAATAATTTAATAAATAATTCAAAACTAATAATCTAGATTATTAAGATTATTTAATAAATTATTAAGACATTTTTAAATAATCTACTAATAATCTAATAAATAATTTAATATAATGTAATAAACATATACGCCTTTCACATATACCTTTAAAATGTTAACTTACTATTATTCTACAAGTTTAATTATTTTCCTTCGATTGACTTCTCGACTTTTCCCATAATAAATATAAAATTAATTTAGCAGTACATGTTTCGATTAGATCATATTAAATTACTTACTAGATTATATTAAGTAACTTAATAGATTCTATTAAATTACCTCTTGTTAAAAATGCATACACACAAGAGAGCAGGATAGTGTTAATTCAATACTCATTTTCGATATTTGAATTAAAAATTGTTGAAAAAATCATTTGTAGATATGAACACGTACACGTACCAGAAGAAGGAGTTTATACACACTTTTCAAAGAGGTCGCAACAGCTAACTGGTTAAGGGTTAAACGTCCTTCGATGAAGTATGGACGAATGATTAACGGGGGTGCATATTTCAGTGTCTTGAAGCGTGCTTGGACATGGAAGGTTGGCACACTAATTAGAGAACACTGCCAAAGTACGCTTGAAGACTCTGAAATATGCACATCGCAGCAGGACTGCAAGTTACCCCGGGACAGGGTTCAATAAGCGAAGAATTATAATGTTAACCGATCGCGGTGAAAACCTTCCACGATTGTGCATACTTTTTCACCCGCTTACGGTGTATCCGTTTAACCCTTTGTGCTCAAAAGGATTTCCGCTGTGAATATTCATCGTCTTTTGATAAGACGTTGATGACACTTCTTACGAGTGACCTAATGAGGTGTTACACGTAAATTTAGGAACAGAATTATGTAATCATCTATAGTAATTTTATGATCGTATCTATAATTATTATGTGGTCCATAATTATTATAATATTATCTATAATTATTATATGATTACCTAATAATTTGTGTACTAATGTATCGCACCAAATTTAATATGAAATACCAAACATTCAAATTTTGGAAACATACAATTATTCGTTTTTTACTTGTTTCATTAAAACTCGAGAAACTGAGGTTTCTTCTTTTTAATCTTATTCCATAACTGTTTATTTGACAATCTTGCACAAAAATAAGAAGACTTATTTTTAAAAGTACTGTTAACGGTAATCACTGATAAGTTTATTAAAATTATTAATGTTTTATTGCGTTCGTATATCGTTCATTCTTAAACGAGAAAATTTTAAACGAAAGATGATAAAAGTAGTAATATATAATATATCCATACTATAAAAGAAGAAATTGTTAAAATGTTTATAATAAATATCTTCTGTAAAACACGTTTGAATATTTTAAAAAATTATAATTGAGTAATCTTCAATTGCTTAATATCTCCTTCCTCATATTTATATCCGATTAGAACTCTTCTTAATTTTGGTTTATAATAGCTATTATTATATAATCTACTACGAGATTTCTTTAACCTCACACTTTGTATGCTAATTCCAAAATATATAGATTAGTATAAATATTCAGGGTTTAATAGTCGAGGCAAATTTTGCAAAAATATTCCAAGTAACTAGCGAGAAATCGAAACGTAGACACTTTCTTTTTCAGAATTTTAACGCGTTTAATAGTATGGTAACGTAGTCCATTTGAACCTTTCATCCCACGAGCCAACCCGAGTTTACGCTCCAGCTTTTAAAGTCGTAAACACCCGGTACATTATACTACACAAAAGAAACTAATCCCTAGAAGCTCTCTGTTCAGTAATTAAAGCGCCGTAAAATATGGCAAAACGGGTACACTCTAATTTTTTCATCTCTCCAGCTATGTCTCGCTTTATCTTATTTTCAAAAATATCATAGACACGTTCCGCTAACGTGAAAAAATGCTAATCGAGCCAGAATTTATGACGGGGTGATTCATCCTTGCATTTTTCCCATTCTTAAAACTACTGTTCAACTTATCTTATCGCGAAGTGTAATAAACGCTCTATATACGTCACCGTGAGTCCTATATTAATCTAGCCAAAGCTAACCGAGTCTATAAATAGCACAATGTATGGTAATAATAATATTTTCGTCTATTATGTTTAAATTTAAAGTTAAGCAACATTTTCCGTATATATCAAACACGTAATTTTATTAACACGAATTGTACTGAAGATTGGAGCTACTTCAAAAACTGAAACGTATATAAACGTTAATTTTAAAAATATTAATATAAATCGTATATGAATTATAATTTCTATAATGTCATCGTTAGACACGTACATATTTTTATTTCTACAATCTTATTATAATATCTATAGAAGTCGAGGTTAATATTCTAAGTAATTTCATATTTGTAAAATATATATAAAATATACAGAATATACAAAGTATAGAAAATATTGGGTCATCCCATAAATAATGCGAATTTTTATTTATTCTATTGTAAAAAATAAAGATAGACAAAACTTTGTTCAAAGTAATTACAATGCACAGATACACAATTTACAGATAACGAAGGAGAATATATTTCAGATTAAAAGCAATTTTGTTTCTCTTTGTTTGAAAACAAAAAAAAAATGTATAAGAAACCGCATTACTTATGGGATGACCCAATACAACATAAATCTGACGAAACCTGCATCAAAATTCAAACAATAAAATATAGGATAGCCAAATAAAGTTTTTCATCCTTCTGTATATCTAGACTTTCATCTTTTTCATTTCCCTTAATCTCCACGGTGTCCCTCTTTATGGCGTCTAGACGTCGCGTCGTGCAAGAGTGATGCTGTTTCTGTGGAAGGGCTTTATGCGCCGTAAACCGAGTGATGACACGAGTTTCACGGTCAGCGAGGGTTGTTACCCATGGAAGTAACTGCGACTGCAAATTACAGCCGATGCACCGCTGTGATTCCAACTCGAACAAAGGACCGCTGCGAGATTGTGGTTTCGTTTACATCGAGCTTGAATAGTCAAATAATGCTGATTATCCGCGATCCACGAATAGCCTTTCCCCCCTACGCATTAGAAGCTTTTCATTCCCCGAGTGAGCCAGGAAACGCAAGCATCTTCCCCGGAGGCGTTCGCTCGGAAAAATTGCTGCTCGTTTGCTTTCCAGTTTTACTAACATAATTGACGGCGTCATTTGTACTTGTTTATTAGAACATTACATAAACAACATGAAAGAATAAGTAAATACGATTGTTTTAATAGTATAAGTTATATGTACTTTATTTATTAGAAAATTGTTGAAATAGTAAGAAATAGTAAATAAATATAATTGTTTTAATAATATAAGTCTTATGTATGTCTTATGTATTTTTATTTAAAAATTATAAAATTAGTAAGAACTAGTAAATAAATATAATAATTTTAGTGGTATAAGGTAATATACCTTTTTATTAGAAAATTACATAAATACCAATAAATATGGTTATAAAGTATTCATACATGTTCTTTTGATAATAAATAAATGAACAGTTAAATATATTTCCAAACAGCAAATTTTTATGGACTCTTTCATTGAAATTACAATCGAAAACAAACTTCACTGTATCAGGAACTTCATCACTATCCCCCATTAAACATTTTCAAACATTTACGTTCATTTATGATTTGAACATTTTGTTTCTAACGCTTCTGCGCTTCGATGAAATGGTCTACTTTAACATAATTTATTTTCATCATCTACGAACACTAATATTTTCCGTCCTTTATACCTTTGTAATTTAAAATCTTCCGCCATGTAACATCTTTTCCGAATGTCCACGTGTTTGAACATCGAGGACACTGGCCAGAAGAAAGAGAATTTATCTCAATAAAGTCTAAAAACTGTATCGTTGATGATTCTTCGTTTCTCCGAGCCTGGAAACAATGGGTATGCTTGCCGGGCCTCTAATTAGAATATTGGGTGAAAGTTTGCAGGCCAACGTCGAATATATCTGTAAAGAAACTTACGGTTTCCACGTATGTTACGTACATGTACATACGTTTGACGTTCGTAAACCGGAAAAGGTCAGGAGTCTCGATTGTAAGCACAAATACGGTGACTCGGTTCGTTAGCTGCTACCCCATCCTCCGAAGATCCTCTTTCACCCCCCACGTTCATCGTTACGTGGCGGCAACAACGAAATTGGCATTAATTTTCTACGAAGGAGACCATTTTCATTAGGGCCCGTGTGGTTCTCGCATGAAAAAACACCGTTGATTACCGTTATCTGCGGAAATACAGAATGAACAACCAAACGAGAAGATACTTATCCATGAACAATGTAACAATGCGCGCTGCTTTCAAGTCTAAAAGCGAAACATTCATATTCGACGGTCTGTTTCTAAGCTTTTTTATACCTAAGAATAACTGTCGTAACGTTGTTTAATGTTACTGTTGTTTAAAGTTGTAAAAATACTAAATGAGAAAATAATACCTGATAATATCATGAATGATAATAATTAATATTATAACATAATAAAATATTGTAATATTTATATAATATTTATATAATATTTATATTGTAATAATAGTTATAATATATTATAACATATTAATAATAATAATAATATTATTATTATTCAACAATGTCATAATATAAAATAATATATGTTTCAACGATTTCAACCGAAAAACTAACATAAAGAATAATCAATTAAAGAATAAATTTTATTAATGCAAAAATATACTAAGACAGTGTTTAATATGATAATTTCATTAACAATTATAGATAACAATTGTAAATGTAAATATCTTGAACGATATCACTTCATCACTTAAATTTCATGTACGTTTTCAGTCACATTACGCAGTAATTATGTTAACATTGTTTACTTTGGTACTCCGCCACGTGCCATGGCTTACAGTGGGTCTACTTCCGTAGAATAATGTTGGAAACTTGACCCTTATCTTCTCGAACCAGACCTTCGAACTTTAACCATTGACGAGCCCTTTAAGGATAAGGTATTGATATTCACTTCACAAAATCATATTAAAACTCCTATGGAATAAATAAAATAGTATCCTCTTAAAAGTGAAAAAAATGTAAGGACCCGCAGTTGAATAAAAATCATTAATTTAATAATCCATAATTAATCATTAAAACAGTAACAACTTGTTCTCTTGATATTCATTTTACAAAAACCATAAGTAGTAACTGTAAAATAAATAAATATTATAATCTCAAACTGGAATTAACTCAGACAAAAAATTCAAGGATTCGTAGCTTAATAAAAATCATTGATGTAATAATCAATAATTAATCATTAAAATAGTAAAAACTTATTCCTTTGATATTCATTTTACGAAAACCATACGTAATAACTGTAAAATAAATAAATTCTATCATTTCAGAATAAAATGAACGAATCAGGGAATCAGTGTTGGACGGAATTGATTAACTTCTCGATAGACTGTTATATATTTCTCTCATTCTGTTTACTATTTTTATTCCTTTTGCGTTTTGCTCGTTAGACCGAAGTTATTTTTGAGTCATTTAATGTCATAAAATGTTTACATGCGGCGCGTGCGATGCAGAACGTTCGCAATTAATGCGAAACATTTTATTAACGCTGGACGTTGTTTCGCAAATGATACGACCGACACGTTGTAAACAAACCTTTGTGTCATCCAGTCTTCTCTTAATTAAGTTTCCTGCGCAACAGTTCCATATAGAATTAGTCACGTGATTTTCATTAATTATTAATTTTAAAGCTCTGCTTTCACGAGCAGCCAAGATCTGCTGTATTCGTAATTGACAATTTCCTCGGTGTCACATCATTTAAATCTCGAGCGTTACATAAAAGTTTACTGTTACACGAGATTCCGTTGCAGAGAGGCTAAAATGAAAACAGTCACTTTTAAACCATCGAATTAATTTCCGGAGAAATTATTTCAACCAGTCTTTTTATTACGTGAGATACTTTTGTTAGTAAAATAAACGATGTTTTTTAACCGCGAAATAACTAGAAATAATTTAACTCATTACTATTTAAAATGTTTCTGACTTTTCACAATTGTTCAGAATGTTATTGAATTCGATTACGTTTTAATTCCTTGCACTAAAAACTTTCAGTCGCCATTTACTTGAACGCAGAGAAATTGTAAAATTAAAGATTCAATATTTAATTTTCTATGATGCATTATTAATTATATTATTATAATATTATTATGATTTTGTTTATTGCAAGAAATATCATCAATATTTCATAGAGAAATAATGAATGCTTATTGATGCAATGAGTTAATACGTTAGTTTCTAATTTATTTATAACTATTGGGAAATACTGAGATTATATTCGTCTAAGCTGTATATGTGAAATTGTGGATAAATATAAATCAAGAGAATAGGTAACAATTGAAGTGAAATTAAATGTCGAATCTATCTTGACGTAAGACTGGGAAGAGTTCATATCTAATAAAAATTGACGAAACGTCTTCGAAAACTGTTTCAGATGAAGAATACGGGCAGAAAAGCGTTTCCGTGATGCTCGACGGCCAGGAAACAGAACTGGAAATCATCGATCACCCAGCGGCAGAGATGTCCGTGAGTATAATATTAAATTCAGCAGGCAGCCCTCATTGAGTTACGTAAAATTTTATTTTGAATTTCCCACCAATTCGATAACTAAGAATGTTTAAATTCTTATTAATTATTTTTTCTAAATAACGCAGACCAAAGGTCAGATCAAACTAAGAATTCACATTTCTTACATGAAAAATTATATTTCTCATTTTTCGTTTCTTGTTATAAAAAAAATTTCAAAATTCTTTTATAGTTTTTGTTATTCCTGTTTAACTATTTTCATCTGTTCACTTTTAATAAGAAAATAAACTGATCCGAATTTGTCTGCCCTGTCTTTGCAAAATTCAACGAGATATATCGATCTTCTTCTTAAATTTAATATAATTAATTAACAAAGTAAATTAGTTATTTAAAAAATGCAAATTTAAATAAAGATTTAAGATATTTTTTGGTTTTTTTATTCACTGGTTATATTATGTCGAAAATTAATCAAATCTTTCTTCAGCTTCTCGTTATCCTTACTTCGCTGTTAATTAACAAGATTACGTTGTAAATTTAATTTTGGCGGAAGGTATGCAGCATTTAATTACGCGTAACGGTCTTAAGGGAATTGAATTCATTTATTTATACGTAGGAACCGAAGGTAATTGTATAACAAGATAAACGAGCTTCGTTACAGTATTTATAAACTCTGAAGATGTCGAGTCATTCATTAGAATTAATCAACTTTTCTTCCGCCGAGCTTTAAGTACTTCAACGGTTCGGTGGTTATTTATAATTCCTGTTCATGTAGAATCACAAATTCTAACACTTTTTTCATTCAAAAGTTTCATTTTTGAGAAAATGAGACGTGGAAATGTTTTTGTATAAAACTTCATTTCCGAGAAAATGCAATTTGGAATTCTGTTCGTTTGAAACTTTATTTTCAACGAAATATAATTTAGAAATTAGCTTAGTCGTGTAATGTCTTGATCGCAATTATTTGGTTCATCTGTTATTATTCAATGATATGCTTTCATTTTCAAATTGTTCCTTCCATTCTACAATTTTTAAAAATAAGAAAACATTTCGTATGAAGTCCTAAATATTTTACCCAAAGATCTTTACAAAAATTCGAAATATATTAAATGTAACCTGTTACAAATAAATTTGTGATTTCACATGAATAATTACTATGAATAATTACTATGTATAACTAACGAACCGTTGAAGTACTTAAAGCTGTACTGAAGTAAAGTTGATCAACCTTAATGAATGTCTCGATATCTTCAGCGTTTATAAATCCTGTAACGAAGCTCATTTATCTTGTTATACAATTACCTTCGGTTCCTATGTATAAATAAATGAATTCAATTCTCGTAACCCTAAAACTATCAGGCAAGTCAAAATGACCCATTCCTGATTTATCCTCTTTGCAATTATTAACCATTTGCACTCGGAAGTTCTTTCCTAGAAATATGCAACACTTTTCATTAAAATATAAACGACATTCTTCGAAACTAACAAATGAGAAAACGTATACAAATTAAGAAACAAAGCTATTTTATTTTAATATTTTACATATCAATGCATTATACAGAGCATAATGTTATATATAAGACAATAGTTTTGCTATATCGAATCTAATGGTGACTAAGAAGTCTCGAGCGCAAAGGGTTAAAAAGATAACGGATGTTTCTCTAAAAATTTATTTAAAAAATCAATTTAACAATACACAAACTGAATTGCAAATCAATTAACCCTCTGTAGGCCCATGTAACTTTAAAGTCACATATCAGTATATTGGCATCTTGTTGATTTATTTCATTTCGCACTCGAAGTGGTGAATAAAATTAAGTAATCATTTAACTTAAACTTTTATACAGGCGTGAAAGTTCAACGTCATTGTAACTTGAAAGTTACAAAATGTATTCGTTTGATGAAATTATTGGAACTATTGAATACATTGTTAATTCGTATTTATATGTGGATATTTATTAATTTTGTACTGCATAGATTTTGTGATAATCATGAACAAAAATTCGGCCCATAGAGGGTTAAAGTCTGACTCTTGGAGTCTCCATAAAGAAATTTCAAAAGGTCAGTGCAACTGTTCGGTAGTTTTAACGTTAAGACCGTTACGCGCAGCCATAGGTTAAGGGATTCAAGCTGAAGGTCCTGATTTCCCGGCTTTATTAGTTGACACACAGCGTTTTGATTGAGGTAACATCAATTTCCTTGTCAGGTGGAAACATTCTGTTCGACGTATAACCCGGACGTCTACGTGGTGGTTTACTCTGTGGTGGACCGGCTGAGCTTGAAGGTGGCCGAGGAGACCCTGCTGTATTTGTGGAAGAGCGATTACATGGCCAGCCACGGAGTGATTCTCGTCGGGAACAAGGTCGACCTCGAGCGAAAACGGGAGGTCTCGTCAGTCGGTGAGTAAAGCCCTGTACACGCTTAAAGACATTGTTCGCAGACAATCCTCTATGTACCCAGCCACATACTTAGGTACTACTCTGCATAGACGGTTGCGTCATGTATTCTGTAGAATCTTGCGCATCCACATCTGTATCGATATCGTAACGTCTTCTTTGAAACAGGCTTAGTTCGTCGTTTGTTCGAGGTACGCAGGATATTTTACGCAACAAACGGAAGCCATAGTTTAGTCCTTAGCATCTGTGAGGCTGTTGCAAATTTTCATTCGTTCTTATTTCCTTCTTTGCATGGTTTCTGATCCTTTTATGCTGTGTACCCTTTTGTTAGTGTTTGATGGTTAATTAATGAAACAAGTAAATAGTAACGAAATAAATTGAGGAGGTTAGTAAAGTTTGTTGTAATAGTTGTGTGAGTTTAAACGATAGTTAATTAAACGGTTACAAGGTTTGTTCTGTGTTATTTTTTAAGATTGTTTGTATTGGAGTCAATGGAGGTAATCATTTGTATAATTTTGTTAATTATTAATTTGGATTAGTTTCTTTCGTTTTATCTGGTAACAGTGTTTATTTCCTGTAATTTCTGCTTTAGAAAAATGGCTATAGCAGTTAATAATGAAAAAGATATGCATTGGGCACTCTGAGTAACCACAGTTCGTGTGCTAGGGGTCAAAGTGGTAGGCAATAAAAGAAAAGTTCCATTAGGCAAAATTGAATGGTTCGCAGTGCTGTGTCACGTGGTACGTGTCTACTTGAGAAATGGAAGTAGTTCAAAGATTTTAGGTCACTTTCATGTTTCTAAGGAGGAATGTATGTTTTTTTTCTTTTTATTAATCAATTGATAGTTTTTTATTCTGTATAAAGAAGTGTTGAGGCAGTTCACGAATTAATTGGATTAAAAGATGTTTTAATTTCAATATTGCTTGTGGACTTGAAATCTAATTTCGAGAATAAAGAGATTTAATAAAAAGAGAGATCACCAACTTTATACAGTTGTAAATTTGTGAAGCTACCAGGAAAATGATATTAGACATTAAATAAAGAAAATAAATTATAATGTAGTGCAATAAAGTAAAAGCATCTTCGTGGAACTTTATTTTTACCTGAAGCTGATTACAATTTTCCGGTGGACCTAGCACACGTGTCAGAGTTTGTTGCCAAAAACCTAAAGGCCAGATTAGAGTGTTTCCTGTGCCAATTTTCTAGCACTGCATAACATTCTCACAAAATGAAGCCGTAGAAAAATAATAAACTATTTAATTCTGAATAAATTACTTTTTTATTCGAAAATTATCAATTCGAAAACTATTCTCTTTGAAAACTAACAATGAACACGAAAACAGTCTTGGATTTAAGTAATTCTTTAAAATATCAAAAACTAACTTTTATATTTATAACCACACAATCAATGACGTACGATATCTTTATAAATTAATCAAAATCAGTTTGACTAAATGCCATCGCAAAAATGTTTTCTTCGACAGTGGAATAAATCCATTTGCAGCTAAAAAATGATTTATTCTCTTTAACAATTGTGTTGAACAGTTAATTTCTTTAACAGTTTTATAAACGTTACCCGAACCGATTAACGTTTGCCAATATTTTTAAGTTGATCCAAACGCAAACTCTCAAATATCTCAATGTATAAAAAGATGGACCTGTACCATTAAAAAAAAATGGCTCATATAATGATAAAACATGTTTAATATCAATATTTTTCAGCTGTACCATGTTCAAAAACTGCACGTATACTGATGAAACAGAAGAAACTTTTAGGGCAACCGAATATTTTGTTCTTGTCTTTATTCTTGTATAAATTAATGCTCCATGTAATTCGGTTAGGTAATGAAACGTTGAAGTACATGATCCACTAGTGACGTCTGCTCGCTCCCCGATTCCACTTGGCTCCCACAGTTACCCTACATATTGTCCAAATCCGAGGGAACTTATTGCACGACCCAATACCTTCGTTCTATAAAATCGATTTCCGTCGAGAGACCTCTTTCGGATGGCATTACCCCAAATCTGTCCCACCTCAATCTCTGTTCGGAGTTCACTTCTTTGTTTATATATTCATTATTGGGTACGCCTCCTCACCTTATTTATCTCGACGCAGGGAACAATTGGCATTGAATGGTGCTGCAAAAATGTGATTGAAAGGGAACTTTGATGAGAATAAAACTCGTTTCGTGCGCCTCCAATTATAACCCACACAATGTGAAAATATAAAGAACTATATTTATTATAAATGTTTCAAATACATGTGACTGGAGCTTTTAAATTGCTAGGAAACAATTACAATAAGAACATTTCTGTCGAATGAAAATGTTCAGCATCATAAATCACTGAATAATAGTGTAACTTAGAAACTATGGCCCCATATCATCAATAATTAATTCTAATGTCGGTTGTCTTTGTTATGAAAGAATAAATAATACATAACATTTAGAATTCTCAGAGCAATCATCGTGCTAATAAGATTCAATCAAATCACCATGCTAATCTTATCTTAATTACTTTCATCATTTATATTATCAATCCCTTAAAGATTTCTATTTTCCTAAATCCATATAAATCTTGATTGCAAATAGTTACGATATATTGCATCAGCATATCCAAGAAGTTTCACCTTATTTTTAAATAAAATTCAAAGAAAAATTCCACCAGGTACAATTAAACTTCGTTAGACTACAGAATACCTATTACATTCAAAAGCTTTGTCTTTTACTTCGCTTATTTATAACATTTAATTGCATTACAATACCAACGCCATATTAAAGGGTAAAACGACAATCATCTCGACCGACCCAATATTTCACGAAACAGAACAATAGCGAGCGCTGAAACGTCCAAAAACTTCAATGGAACCCCTAGAAAGTGCGCAACGTTCAACTGTACTTTTTCATTACAGAAAGAAATTTCATTCTGATTCTAATTTCCGCACGGTAGCGCGCGAAAATGGGAATTCTCAGCGAACGTTCGCCGTCCAGCGACGAACCGTTTCCCATGCGCGTCCACTTAGACCCGTGCAAATACGAATGAATGCAAATATCACATTTGCATGATCCACGGGAACGAAATTACAAGCAGCTCACGAATTCTCCCTGATTTATGTTCCCTGTGCAGCCGGCCGGCGTTTGGCGAACAACTGCGGTTGCAAATTCATTGAAACTTCCTCGGGTCTGGCGCACCACGTGGACGAGTTGCTGGTCGGCATTTTGGCGCAGATCAAACTGAACCCGCAACGGGACCGGGACCAAGCGACGCGGCGGAGGAGGAGCAAGCACCGCAGAAGGATCCTGAAGCACCTGCTCGGCTTTAAAAGGAAAACGAAGAGCTGCGAGAACCTTTTTATTCTCTAACGTTTCCGAAGGGAATTCAGAGGGACAGCTCCATTATTATTGTTGCACGTAAAGTGGTGGGCAGTTCAATTTTCATTTTGTAGAGTGTCGGGCTTTATGCTGTTCCAGGCATTTTTATCTGAAAATTCTGGAATGAAGCGTTTGATTTTCTTTATTATTCCGTGACAATGAGAATCTGTACATTTGGAATTTGTGGATTTCATTATTTTCGGACGGGGTATTCTTGTTATCGAATCAATGGGATTTTCGAAATGTTCAATGTACAGGAATTAATTGAACAGTCCACGAATCATTTCTGACATCGTTTTTCTGCTGTATGCCCCGATGGTACTTTAAACTATTGTTTTTATTAAAATGCTGCTAAGTAAACCTACCGAATTTTGTCTTCTTTTTTAAGCTGATTCGATGATGTTTTATTTGTTAATTTCATTGCGTTGCAAGTTTACTTGTTATTGCAATCTTTTTTAAACAAGTTCAAATGGTACAGTTGCCATTACGAGTGAATGAGTTAGGTGATGATTTTTATTTTAGTAAGTGAATCTCAAGGAAGTCTGAAACACCTTTCACTAGAAGGTTTCGAAATATCTATGTTTTTGATATTTTGTTGAGAGTTGATTTTTTTTTAAAGATCCTTTGAATTTTTAGTTGTTTATTTTTACTTATTTATTAAATGGTTCTGGGGAATGAAACAATTTTTATTGGGAACTGTGATGAATATTTATAAGCTGATTTTATTTTCGCGCGTTACATATTTTAATTTATTTTATATCAAATTTTAGTGAATACATTTCAATTAATTTTCCCATCAGTTTCACTTTATGTGCAACAACTGTGGTGATTTTTAACTACCGTGCGCGTAAGTATTTGTACAGTGGAACCGCCATATTCGAAGCAACGAAAAAATCTAATTATATACATATAATTTTGAATGTCCAAATCATTTATGAAATTGTCAAATTCAAACTATTTTAGTATTTCATTAATTTTTCTACCCATAAATGCTAATTATTAGTAATTACAATTATTAAGGAAGTAAACGTAAGATTAATTATAATATTCGGGCTTAATATATAGAAGTAATATAAACGTATATGAAACTATTAATTAATTGTATATTCATATATTTCCCTTTTATCATGTAGGAACTTTTCTGTTTCAACAAATTTGAATACTTCCAACGTAAGTGATCAATTTTACGTTGTTCTTTATCAGTGTATCCAATTCGTATCCAGATTTTTAGTTATTGAATTACTATATTTACATTGCTAATAACTTTAGTGAAATTGTTTTTACTATTATCGAGAAGAATTCATCAAAATATAATTCAGGGAATGAAAAGAAATAACGAAAAAAGAAATACCGAGAAATATTCAAAAGTGCACGCCAAATTTCAAAACATTCATTGTTAAATCATTTATTAAATAATCATCCAGTTGTGATAATGAAAGAAAGTTTATTTAAGAAACATTTTGTTTCAATCAAAAGAGATAATGGAGGTTCCACTGTAAAATGAAGTCACCGCACGAAGTTATATAAAGAAATGGTAAATAAATATATCCATAAGGTTTCTTTCGGTGAAATATGTGGCGTCCAAAGGAAAATTTTCTCGAGCAAAAAACACAGAGATGTCGCGGAAAAATGAAGAAATTATTTTTCTTGAGACGGTTGAATAATTTCCAAGATGCCCCGAGGAATCGACAGGAAACGAACATCGATAATGTATTTCCCTAAAACCATAAATTTAAGAATAAATCGATTCGAAGGGAAGCAAACGTTCCGTTGTGTCAATTCACGGAAGATTTCCCTCACGAGAAATCTCTTGTTGGATCTATGATGCAAACTCGAATGCGAAATAACGAGCCCGTGTGGCGACGAACAGAGTTTCGTACTCGCGATTGGACGCCTAATATAAAACAGTATTGAAACACTGCGAAGAATATTTTAAAAACTACGATTAAGTGTTAACGACGATTAAAAAAAAAACTGTACGATCGAGTGTTTAACAAGTAATCCAATTAAATAATTTACCGTTGTGTCATATCGAGTACCGCTTCATCCACGGAAGCGAATCTCAATATTTTATAGAGTAGTTCGCGAAACGTCTCAGCGTATAGTATGCATCGTTTTTATTCAATTTATAATCTATTAAAGTAACGCAAAGGTTTCTTAAAATCGTTTTATAAAAGAAAAACACATTTAAACTTCTATCAACTTTAACTTTCCACAAAATATATTCGTTTTAATAAAATTATTAAGACTATCGAATACATTGTTTTGTAGATTGATATTTATTAATTTCATACTGGGTGAACTTTGTTGTAACCACGAACAAACATTCTTTTCAAACTTGTTAATTATTTTCGCGAAAAAAATTGAGAGTTTTTCTGCGAAGCTTCAGGAACGTAGCTAGCAACGATGTAGGGAATGTTATTAATAATGCAGATTGAAGTGAAAAGATTTTTTCAATTTACATCAGGGCGATTTACATATCTTCTGGAGTTTTTAATGGTTCTGGAAATAAAGTATACAAAGGAAGAAAGGTTCTGGAATTGAAATTTCCGTGATCTTTCCTCTCGCTTGGAATAATCTTGATTATTTGCAGACGACTTGCCTGCCGAGTTTTCTCCTTGGAAACGTTTTCTCGCATTGGATCCTTGTTAGGAGGAATTCCGGTCACGTAATCTCGGCACTTTGTCTTTCCGCCGTTTCGTCCGCGAAAATTGATTTCGGCTAATATCGTAATGACATTTTGCTTTTAGCTTCAAATTTTAATTTTAACAGTGAATTCTCGTTCGCGATACGTGCACCGGGTAGCCTCAAATTAAACGAGTTTTAAATGACATTTCAATGGAATTGAAAGAACAAAGTGATTCCTTTTGTTCTACGAATTATAAAGAAATATTGTTCATACGAAAATTCGAAAATTATGACAGATGTGTCGTGATTTTAATTTTAACAAAATTTGATTTGAACGGTATTGTAAAAGTAATTATATAATAGAACATTAAGATAAAGAATCAACGAAAATAATAAAGGATGCATTAATAAAGAAAAAGGAAAATTATACTTTTGTTCAAAAAATATTCATGTTATTATATTGATAAATTATATCATAATCTAACATTTATAAAGAAAACATGCTGATCGTTTCCTGATCATAAAGATATCCTTCAATAATTTCATAATCGTCCATTGAATGATTATTAATGTTAAAACATTATTTTTACTATACGCAATGATGAAACACATTAACATACTTTAATCGTTTAATTTAAGGTTACCCTGTAAAAAGAGACAACTCTGTACTTTAAACATATTTACAAAATAATTTCATCTTATCAATCTCGTGATAATCCCATTTATTATAAAACATGGGCCTGTTAAATTTATCTATCACACCACGAATTAGTAATGTAATTTTATTGCTGGTCTATTATATACAGAATGTAAAGTTTATATGGACCTATACAGTGTATAGTGTACGCAAAGAACGAAGAATATTTGCAAACATTAAACGGCGATTAATTAACAATGAATTTCTATTTTTCCTTTAGTCCATTGTTATTATTCATGTGAAAGAACAAATCACAATGGGAACTCTATTTTCGAGGAAACTAACGAAAGGTGACGGTATATAATGTAATCGTGAATTCATTGGTAATTAATCGTGAATTATTTATAAGCACCGTCTTTCCGGCCTTTTCAACAATTCTTCCATTCCAAGGAATGGGAAACGAATGTTTTTGTTTCTAGCGAAGAGCATGAAACATTTATTGTAAAATATTAGACGCTCTTCTAACGCTATTGTATAAAATCTTTGAAATTTATCTAAGCTAGGCTTAACTGTAAGTGATTAGAAGGTTCTCTATCGAATTGATCCATTAAGAAATAAGTGTTGTTACTTTAAGCGCCGACTCAAGGGACCGTATCAAATCCGAATAAACTTCTTGTGTAAAATAAGTTCATCAAGTGTTTTATTCGATGCACCCTGTAGACATTCGAGATGCAACGTATTTCGAATCGACATTAATTCATTTTGAAAATATCGGAACTTCATATTTATTATAGTGATGCCTCCTTCAGATCTTAAAAGAATATAAAAATTGTGTTATGACTGTATTATTACCTGTCTTTTATTTTATATTTCAATATTTTTCTTCACATTTTCACAAAAATTAACAATTTATTCTATGAAAAATAAAATATTGTTTTAATAAATCACTCTGTTACAGTCCGATACGAAAATGTCAGCATAAATACTCTTACAAAACTCATTTTCCGACGTATTTTTTAAAGATGTATCGACGACTATAAACACAATACCGTTGCAATTCGGCTCTTTAAACACACGTGTATGTAGAATGGGAATTCCTGAAATAAATATTCATGAAGACAAGTAATAAGTAATATTTCTCATCGATAATGCTCTATCCTTTCTTCCTTTCAATCATTTCCTTAAACCACGGAATGTTACTTACAATTTGTTAAATAACCTCCATTGACAGTAATGTTCAACAGTACGGATCTACGGAAAATTCAATAATATATACGTGCACATATAACGTTTAAATATTATTATTCGCCAACTTTGTCATAGCTATAAGCAAATGAAAATCAATAGAATGTTCAAGGATATTAAAAATAAATCATCTGAAGACTATTTATACATGTTTTTATTATTAATTATAAATATTCTTCCAAGAAAATATTAATCAACTATAAATATTAAGTACTTACATATTATACGGACTATCTTTGTTTTTAAGAAATAAAATAATTGCAAACTTTTCTTTCCCGTAGATTATCTTGAGAACGATAATAGATAGCGAAAGAGAGTTCAAACAAAAATTACATTGTTCTGTCACGTTTACAAGATTGCTAAATAAAATTTTACAAAAAGGTTGGTGGTAGTGGTATTTTGAAAAATTTTGACTTTTTGCAAAACTTTATTTATCAATCTTATAGGCGTAACAGAACAATGTACTTTTTGTTTAAACTTTCTTTCGCTATCTCTTACCGCTCTCAAGATAATCCACGGAAAAGACAACTTTGAATTTTTCCAAGGGGTGGTTTCATCTCTTCAAAGTAAAATTCAACCCGAGAAAAGAATTGCAATGTACTACGCTCGACTTACTCTATTTATACACAAAGTTTCATAATTTTTTGAATTTCCGTATTCGATAACCACCCTTGTAAGTAAACACAAATCAGTATATTTATATACAGTCAAACCTCTTATTGTGCGGTCCTTTTCTATGCGATTTTTTTTGTGCGATTTATTTTTGCGATTTTTTTTAATGCGATATATGAATTCCAACGGTGTTGTTGTTGTTTTTTAAGTGACGAAAGCGACTTTGAATCAGTTCATCACAAGAAGATACGCATTTTAGACTACGAGTAGCAGTGAATTATGTGCATTGTGAAAATTTTTCCATATATGAGAAACTAAATTTCTTTTAAATGATTCGATGTGTAATTTAATTATTTATTTTGTTTGAAAGCACTTTCTCACTGTTTCGTAAATTTCTGAACATTTTTTTGTGCGGTTTCTTTTATGCGGTCCTTATCTACCGCACAAAAGCAGGTTTGACTGTATAGATAAATATATTTACTTACTTGAATAACAAGGAAGCGGAGAACAAGGAGGACAACAAGGTTTTGGTGCTGGTGGACATTTTGGAAGCGGGGGTGCAGGTAAGGGACCAACACAACAAGGAACAGGTGGCTTGGGTGGCGGACACGGGGGTGGCGGGCAACAAGGGGCTGGTGGAGGAATGTAAGGAGGTAACTCTTCAATTCTCGGTGGCAGTAGCATAGTACGCGTGGGCAGTGGCGGTACCTTTGAACATTGACTATAAGAAATGCAACATCCATTAACACGTTGACTGCTACGAAAACCTTCAGAGTTTTATGCACCACTTATTCTTTTGTAGCAAAGATGAAGAGGAACAGTTACTTAGTATTTGGTATCGCAATGCTTACGTTACACTGTTATACTATGAAATATTTCCATTCGACATTAGTTATCTGGCAAATTATAATTATTGTCAAGTAATTTGGAAGCTCCGGTCATCGGTGACTGAAGCTTCCGAATTGCTTGAAAACAATTACAATACAAAAAAAGGTTGAATAAAAATATTAGTGACTTAAACATCTAGATAATAGTGTGATGTAAGAACTGTGCAACCAAGTCATTAATAATTAATTTTAATACCATTCATCTTTGCTATAGTATTTGTTATAGTATTCTTTATCTATTATCACAATAGGCTGATCCTATTCGTAGGTTCAGATAATTAGATAATAAAAAAATAAATAAAGGAAAATATTCCTGATGTTCTGAAGGGTAGAGTGTTCGATACTCAACACTTGAAATGTTCGATTAACCCTATAAAAAATCTCAACCTTTGTTGAAAATTATATTAAAATCAAACGCACCAACATTCAATGGCACAAATCAAATATTTCAGTTCTTCCATGTCGTTCCAACACGATATTTTCTTGTTGGGATTACCGTAATTCATTTTGATTTTTGATAAATATTCTGTTTATTAGTAATTGAATAATCTTTTTATAAATTTTATTTTATTTCATTGCATAAGTTAATTTTGAATATTATTGGAAGAATAAAAATATGATAAACAACGTATGATTTGGAGATGTGAAACATTATCGAATCGCGAACATCATTGAAAAATATTTATTCACTAGAAAAATCATAGGTAATATTTTTCATAATTGGCAATCTTATTTTATATTCAAGTTACATAAACCGTAATTCATGACAATTATAATTAATCATTCTTTTGTTTTTAGTGTCGTAATTCATAACTGTTGTTTAATGGTATCTTCTACGTCTGTTATAACATTTGTCAAATTATTTCATAATTTTCCGCTGATTAATGTCAATAATTTAATCATATTAATTTGTTAAATAATTTTACTTTCTACTTAACTTTGTTAGTAATTCGACTATGGAATAATGAAGTCTTTGAATATACCAATATAATTCTGTCAAATCTGCGGTGCAAATGCCGCAAAAAGAAGGTCGTTATCAAAGACTTATGTTAAAAATAGCTTGTCTTTTACCGAAAAGATTTCGTGCTCTTTTTTTACATCCTGCAGGTTAAGTAATAGTTTCGATAAATGACGCTTTTAATTATAATTCATCATAAAATATAATTTATTATTAATAACACATTTATTAATCCAGGTCCAACGACTGTATTTTTTTGGGCCCCAACTTTCAAATGGGGCCTAGTGGCAGCCGGAATAGGGGACCTTACACGTCCTCCAAACGCAATTTCATTAAGTCAAACGGCTAGTCTTATGATAACGGGTGCTATATGGTCCAGGTATTATACAAAAATAATTCTGTATTACCCATAACAATTTCTCATTAACGTATAAACTAATTATTCAACAGGTACTCATTAATAATTACACCAAAGAATTATAACTTATTTTGCGTAAACGCCTTTACCTGTTTGACGGGATCATACAATTTTGTAAGAGCTGTCTTATATCAAATAAAGCAAAGCTCGAAATAATATTAAAAGAAGTGGTGAGTGAATATCACAAAGACGAAAATTTATGAAAATATATTACATGTTTTATTGTAGAATTATTATTTTACACTAACACTGACTATTCGAATGTCGTCATAGGGTTTATCAGTTTTCGGGTTTGTTTTAACTTGACTGATATTTTGTACAACCTCCATCCCTTTTACTATTCTGCCAAATACGGTATGTTTATTGTCCAACCATGGCTAAAAGAATTAATAAAATAATTATCGCTTAACGTTGACTTATTCTTAGGTTAATAACGAATGATATACAACTTACAGTTGGTGTTAAAGTAATAAAAAACTGGCTGCCGTTCGTATTTGCCCCTGCATTTGCCATGCTTAAAGTGTATGGTCTGTCGTGCTTTAAATGAGATCTAAATTCATCTTCAAATTCGCCACCCCATATACTCTCTCCACCCGTACCAGTCCCAGTAGGGTCGCCGGTTTGAATCATGAATCCTTTAATTACTCTATGGAATATATGTCCATTATAGTAACCATTCTTTGAGTGCACGCAGAAATTCTCTACTGTCTTTGGAACATCTTTGCCAAAGAGATTCACGTGAATATCCCCTAGTGTTGTATGAATAACAGCAGTGTCGAAAATCTTCTGCATATTGGTCGCTTCTGTAGAAGATATAATATCTTCTTTCGACGGTCTTTCGTTGAAAACATCTCTGTCACATTCTTGACTTTTCGTATCCTCCGGTTCCCGTCTGGTGAACATGTAAAATCTATTTTTTTTATGAGCTGTGCAGAAAAGAGTAGGATCAGGACGGTTCAATTCCAATGTTGGATTCTCCGAGGCTTCCATTTCTACAGTCACAGCGGCTGTTGTTTTCCTTGCCTTTCCCTTTGTATTTGAAACGCATATCAAAATTATTATAAATTCTATCGTAACCGTCTGTAAATGTTGTGCAAATATTTATATAAATACCTGGAACAGGGCAAGTTGCATAGGACGAATATTTTCAGGTTTCCCCATGATTCTAACACATCGATTTGTATACAAGTTCACAATTTTTATACCTAACATTGTGCTATATAAGATCATATAACCAGATTCATCGAACACTATATTACCCAAATTCGTTTCTGTTTTATCCAATTCCCTTTCAACTGCCATTCTGAAAGTTGTATGACCATATAAAAAACTCATGTTATACAACTGTTTTTTACAATAAATTATCTTTTTTAGCAAGCATACCTTCGACCAAATTCCATATTTGGTAGCTGTTGTGTCATTTGCTGTAACTCTGTAAACCTTTGCAGTGTTTCATCGAATACCCTATACAGTTTTCCTGTACGAAAATTAAAGACTCTGACTTTCCTATCCCCACTGAGAGAAGCAAACTTTTTGCCATCTGGCGATACTGCTAAACCACATGGGTAAGTCTTATTTTTTGCAAATTCGAACAAGTCCGTGTCCAACTTTGACTCAAATGTAACACATTTAGGAAACTTATATTCCATTTTTGGTCCTGTCCAATATTCCAAAATGCCTGCTTTATCCACGGAAATACATGTTTCATAAACAGGATTATACTGTAAATAATGAAAACATATAATAAAACTGTTACATAAAATACATAAAAAACACTATTTATGTTTATCTTTCTTACTTTCATAGCGACAACAGGCTTAGTGTGTAGTCTTTCAAAAACATGTAATGGTATTCCAGTTCCTTGTCCATCATAAACAAAAATTTTATTTGATTCTTGAGCTGAAACTGCTAAAGCAGATATCGCATCCCCAGGTGAATAAATCCATTCACAAGAGAGAGGTACAAAGTCCAATTTGATCATATTAATCATATCTTAAACAAAGTTTTCGATAATTAAATAACTGTACAATTAGAGAATCAATTAGAGACTCATAAACATTACTTTTGTGCTAAAGAATATTTACCAAAATTGATAACATCAAAAATCTTTATTGTTTTATCTAAACTAATTGTACACGCATGAACACCATTACAACTAGCTGCCATTGATTGAACAGCCATTAAATGGGCTCGGAAATGTTTCACAAATTCAATAAGTTCTTCCTGTTTCTTCCAAAATTTAACATGTCCATCACAACTAGCTGTTATCACAAAATTAGATCTGTACAAATATGTGAAAATAAATGTAATTGTTGTATAATCTATACATATATATAATAAATATGTATAATCATAATATACTAACTTTGTGACTAAAATATGAGTAATTACATCCCTGTGCATGTAAGATTTCTCATAACATTCGCAATATGGTAAATTCTCTATATAAACTTGTTCATACTCCAGTACTGCAAAATATGGTAATCAACATTGTTATTAATCTTCATTAAGGCACAAAAGTTCAAGTGCAAAATTTTCAATTATGTTCATCAAAAGGACATAGTATAACCTTAAGTATTCTCTTTAAATACAGGCTGAATGAAAATTCATAATTGTAAACGAAAATAATACAACAGTTTGTTACTAAGTACAAAATGAAAAACATAGTGATGAAAAAATTATTTTTATTCAAAATATTTATGCAAAATATTACAATTTGTATAATAAATATAAATTATACATCAGAACCTTTCTGTTTCTTTGGAGGTGCAGCTTCTGAAGGTAATGGTCCAACCCAATCATCCTCATTGTCGCTTTCAGCATGTTCTCTTTTGGAACTTGACATTATCACAAGAAAAAAAGATAAAATTTAATGAAAATATTAAAAGATTTATTTGTAACTGACATTTGCGTAAACACCACTGAACGCCACTCGCGCCAACGTAGACCAAACGCAAACCAATCGCTGATTACGATTGTATAGTATTTACATGCTTATCTATCTGTTAAAATTATAACATAAAAAAGTACCGGCATACTTTTTACTAAATATCATGTCTGTTAAAAATATCAATTAATATGTACATATAAATTTCCTATAATAATAACAATATGTAATTATGCTTATGTATGTAGTTTTCTTAAACTCATTGTATTTTAGAATTTCAAATTTAAAACTAATAATGAATGATATAATTCATGTTACAATCCAATTATTACTTCTTTGTGCATATAGAGTTATAATAGTGATGAATATTGACTATGTTATTTATATTATTTTAATACATTTTATCATTAAACAATATTTAATAGTTAATATATGTATATAATGATATAATAATATATCTGTAGAGAATTTTAGCGACTAAATTATTACAAATTTAATTTTTTTTGTATAATTTATTAAAATAATCAATTCAGAAAATATCTTTCTTATAAATATTTTTCTACTCGAATAAAACTTTTTTGGTAAAACTATTATAACATAAATATAAGAATATTTATTGCTGATTTTATTTGTTTATTTTTGCTAATAAAGTATATTCCTTTTATTATTGTAATTATAATACATTTATTATTATCAAATACCAATCGGTTACGTATTCTTAAACCTATCAAAATTTGAAGTAACAAGGCATATTTAACCTATCGTATTTAGTATATAATAAGATTCTGGTGCGATACGAATAAAGCGGCACAATTTTAGTGCAACATCGATAAAATATTATTTGTTAATACTTTTTCTTGTAATACTATTAGTGTAAAAATTTGTTGATATTGTTTATTTTAGAATCCTTAGAAATCTCTGGTACTTCCTAATATGACTAGGTAAGTTTCAAACAACTGTAAGGTTATATTTTTGCTTTATAAACTGAATGATTCTAAACATTCATTATTTATTTTATATAATACTATATAATTTGTAATACTGCATGTTAATTTTACTCCATTTATAATTCACAAAAATTGATAGTAATTTAAAGTTTTAAATATTTCGACTTTCAAGGGCACATTTCCTTGAAAACGTGTAATTTTAAATTGAGGGAAAAGATTATAGAATAAAATTTCTAACACAATTATTTATTTAATGTTGTATTTTATTTTATAAAACATGTTTAGGTATGATTTGCATACAGTTTTCATATTTCAAAGGTTTTAAAAGTTTTGTAAAACAAAACTGAAATTAATAATTTCAGTATTATAAAATGTTAAATTACTTAAACACCTACTGCAATGATATTAATTGTGATTAAGTATAATATGTATATTTCATTTTTAATGAAACTTAATTTTTTAATTATAGATCAAAGATAGAGTTAGGAGATGTAACCCCACACAACATAAAACAGCTAAAACTTCTTAATCAAGTGGTATTTCCTGTCTCGTATAATGAGAAATTTTACAAGGATGTGTTAGAAGCTGGAGAATTAGCGAAACTGGCATATTATAATGACATAGTGGTATGTTATTTAATTTTTATGACATATTCATTAAAAATATACTTGACTAATTATATTCTTTAAATTAGGTTGGAGCAGTTTGTTGTCGAGTAGATACCTCAGAAAATTCTAGGCGTTTATATATTATGACGTTGGGATGCCTTTATCCCTATAGAAGATTAGGAATTGGTACTGTAATGGTACAACATGTTTTAAACTATGTCAACAAAGACGGCAATTTTGATTCAATCTTTCTGTAAGTATTTAAAAACTGGAATTTAGGATTACTGTAACGTTATAATGAATACTGCAAATCTTATATTCTGAGTTTTATTTGTAGTCATGTTCAAATAAGCAATGAAGGAGCTATTGATTTTTATAAGAAATTTGGATTTGAAATAGTAGAGACGAAGGAACACTATTATAAGAGAATAGAACCTGCAGATGCACATGTACTACAAAAAACATTACGTCCTAGAATAAATAAAGAACAAACAAATATTCAACAAGTCAATCAATAAAAAATTGTTGATCATTAATTTATGGCATCCAAAAAAAACTACATGTCCTTACAGTCTGGTAATAAAATAATTTTTATTCTATTTCCCAGTGTGTTATAAGTTATAAAATTAGAATTTTATAAATAATTTAATAAAGTTAACAAATACAATGTACTTCCATGTAAAAAACAAATGTAACTTAATAAACCCTATGAATTGTTAACACTTTCTCAAAACAAAGAAAACTTCTATCATTAATATTATTCATATTGTCTTCTTTTCCAATATAATTTCATTAAGTTAATCTCATTTAAATAGTATCTTATGTCTACCAAATTTATATGTTTATCGATTAAATAAAATATGACATTGTATAATATAGTATATCTTGTCTAAACTGAAATAAGTATGTCTACTTTGATTTTCTTATCTCCTTTTCCCATTTAAAAATATTAAAAGAACATTTCAACCCGAGTTTCATACAGTAGTAAACATTTAGCATGTATAATAAAGAAATGCTAAATAACAATTCAACATTGTAATTTAAGTATAATATTTTTGAGTTGTCACATTTTAAGTAATATATTAAATACATATTACAAATAAAATATAACTGTATAGTATACAAGTACATTATATTATAGTAGTATTTATACCTTAGCCATCATCGATCCCAAATATTTTATATAAATTCCAATAAATAGTATAAGTCTTATTAAAAAGTAACAATGAAATGTAACAAAATTAGTAAATATATGCGAATAATGTGGGATAAAATACTACAGGAAGAAAACAATAAT